GCAATGTCTGAAAGCGGGAGGAACCTCAGTTCTGGGAACTCCATGCCCCTTTCTTAGAAAATTCATGAATAATCCACCCCTTACTTAGCATATAATCAGGAAATAACCATAGGCATAGTCAATCAAGCAGCCCACACTGCTGCTCTGCCTATGGGGTGATCACTTGTATTCTTTTACTTTTTAATAAACTTGTTCTCACTTAAAAACAAAACAAAACAAAAAAAAAACAGGGAATTTGGAGGGGTGGAAGTGGGGCTGAAAGCCCCAACCTTCTAATCATGCTTGGTCTTTCCAATGATCATCACCTATTCTGAAACTAGCAAGGGTGCCCCAGCCACCAACCATCTCATCAGCATTCAAAAGTCATTCTTATTACTCTGGAGATTCCAAGGGTTTTGGGAACTGCATGCCCTAAAACAGGAACAAAGCCCAAATCTACATTTCACAATATCATAACTTTCACAATATCATAATTTTCTTGGATAAGTCTTCTTACTCCAAAAGAGATTTTGAGCTATCTCAATACAGTTTGAAATAAGCACATTTGTTGCCAGGATGAATCATTTTTAGAAAGGTATGAATTCAAAAAGTTAAAAATGTAATAGGTGGTGGACTTCCTATAAGACTTGCTATAAAATAACATTAATTAAGGCAGTATTATAGTGTCATAAGTATGAACATATAGATCAGTGGCACAGAATAAAGAGTTCTGTAATAGACCCACATGTATGTTGCCAATTGACTCACAAGAAAGAGGACAAGATAATTCAGTGAGAGAAAGGACAGTCTTTACAACAAACGATGCTGGATCAAGTGGATAGTTAAGTGAATTTTCAAGTGAAAAAAATAAATGAACTTTGACCCTTACCTCACACCATACACAAAACAATATTCACAATGGATCAGGGAACTAAGCATAAAAGCTAAAGCAACAAAACTTCTTGAAGAAATCATAGATCATTTTCATAACTTCAAGGTATCTTTTTAAAATTTGAGCATAAAAGCATGATCATAAGAAGAAAAACTAAAAAAATTAAACTTCATCAAAATTAAAAACTTCCATTTTTTAAAAAAGATCATTAAGAACATAAAAAAATTAGTCACATCCTGGATGAGGGTATGTGTGTAAATATTTGCAATACATATATCTGATAAAAGAGCTATAAAAGAATACATAAAGAATTCTTAGAACCTATTGATAAAAAGTAAAATAACCTAATAAAAACCTACAAAATACAGTATTTTTCCTTTACTCCTCATCTGCTTCCCAAATATTTGAAAAGAAATCCTTATAACATATATCCGATACTAGACAAACACAGCAATAGATGGAAAGGAATGTTGCTAGCAAAATAACAACAACAAAAAAGGCACAACATATTTACATTCCCATGGGAATTGCATGTCCAAATTTTATTCTAAGTCCTAAGTTAAGGATTATGTGTATAATGATTAGCTATAGTAAATTATAAGAAACTGAATATTGCCAAAATGGCCCCAGTAGGAAATTGGTTAAATAAATCATGATACATGCATACAATAAAAGTATGTGCAGCCAGTAAAAATATTGTAGAAATATAAGCATTGGCATGAAAAGATATTTATATTATATTGTTAAGTGAAAAAGCAAAGTATAAAAAATATGTACAGTAAAATTCACTTTTAGTAAAGAAAAATTTATTTATGTAAACCAATTGTCTGAAATGCAATCTTGTTACCTCTGGGAGTGATTACAGGTTGTTTTTATGTTTGCAACTTTATATCTTCCTCATGTTACTAATCACTAGCCTAGTATCTTAGTCCATTTTGTGATGCTATAACAGAATATCTGAGACTGGGCAATTTATAAAGAACAGAAATGTATTTTCTCACTGTTCTGAAACCTAGGAAGCCCATGATCAAGGTGCCAGATCCTCACACAGTGAAAGGCTCAAGGGCCAGAGGGGATCAACTCTCTCCATCAAGCCCCTTCATAATGACATCTAATTCCATTTGTGAAGAAAGATCCCTCATAGCTTAATCACCTCCCAAATGCCCTACCTCTTGACACTACCATGGCCTCATCTCAATATTGGAGGGGACACATTCAAACCATAGCGCCTAGTAACCCTATCAATGATTCATGCTTTTATGGGTCGAAGATTATTGCTATTTGCTGGTGAAGTTAATCCACAGGCTCCTCTTCTGGCTCCTCTCCCTAGCTTCCCCAGCCTTTATGTCTACCCTTACAGGCAGGCATGGGCCCCTCTCCATGTTCTCCTGCCCTTAAGGAACAACCAGTTCTTTCTGGCTGCTTTCTAAGCATGGCTTTTGGATTTAGCATGAACTGCATTCCATGTGGTGCCCGACATACTAATTTGTTCTTCTGTTCTCTTCCACTCCGTGCCTCGAATCCTTTCCTATTTTCCTTTCCTTCTTTGTCATCTTTTGCAGATAGATATTTGGTCTGGTTCCCAGAATCTCAACTTACAAATCACTTAACTGTACCCAGAGCACTTGCTTATTCAACTCTCTTATGTTGCTTATCCCTGGATGTTCAGGCTTTGGTCTGTGTTTAAAGCTTTTGTTGAGTACAAGAGAGGGTCTGTTGTTTCTTTCTGCTCAGCTTCTTTTTCCTACACCTCTCTTCCAGTGAAAAATAATTTCTTGGCCACAGCCATATGGTGTCTTCTGGATCATAGCAGTTTGGTCAGGCATTGGGATATGATATCAGCTGGCCAATCAAATCCCCTCCCTCTTGGGACAAAAGCTGTAAGGAGGAGAGTCCTAGAGTCTCCTTGTGACCATGTCCCCCATCATGCATGAGAACCAGTCTGACAGAATCAAGTTCACACACAGATAAGAGAGATGGATGAAGAAAACAGTCCACATGGTGTTTGTTCCCTCGATCCCGCTAACCCCGAGGTCAGTTCCAGTCCTACTCTTGCTATGGGCTGATTACATTTGTCAATAAATGTCCTCTTCAGTGCTTTGAGTTAGTTTGAAAAAAAAATGCTGTCACTTGTAACCGAGTGTTCTAATCATTTCAGATCCCTCAGAGCCATGACTTGGTGTCACAGTGGCTCTTTGCACTCCTCCCTCAGAAAGTTGTCTTACCTATCTTCATACTCTCAGCACCCGCCTCTGTGCAGTCAATAGAAGTTTTCGACTGGGCGTAGAGAGACATGGGTTCCACTTCGGGTTCTGTTAGCAAAGGCTATGTGAGTGAGGGGAGAGCCTTTACCCAGCTGTCAACTTCCTTATATACAAAAGAGGGCCTTTAATTAGGCAGGTTCCAAAATTCCTGCCAGCTCTAACATCGGTTGGTTTTCTGATTCCAAAGTCGACATCTGCAGGCTGACTTAGGGAGAGCTCTGATCCCATAGTTGCTCGTGTAGCATTTCCAGTTGCATGTCTCACCATCATCTCAAACTCAACAACTCTGAAACCAGCCATAATGTCCCCACACAGCCTTGTCTTTTGTGTTTCAGTCAGTGGGACCCCTGTTTTTCTAGACACCAAGACTCAAATATTTGAAATCATTTTTAACTGCTTACAAGCTCTTATCACATATACTTAAGTGGTCCTCAATGCTATTATCTCTCCCTAAAAAAATTCTAAAAGTCATCCTGGCTTTGGCTTTTGTTACTGTATGCTAAGCTCTGTCTAGATCTGACTATATCTATCTCTGTCTCTTATATGTGTCTATATTGTTATCTTGTCTGTATTTGCATCTTCATCTATGTCTACACCTCTGTCTATATCTGTACTCATATCTATATCCATATCTAAATGATCTCTATACCCATTCTCTATCCCAAGTTCCAGGCCCATATCTTTCAAACATATATTGAAAATTCCTACCTGGATGCCTGCGTTAGTTTATTCTTGCATTGCTATAAAGAAATACCTGAGGCTGGGTAATTTACAAAAAAAAAAGAGATGAAATTAACTCACAGTTTTACAGACTATACAGGAAGCATAGAACCGGCATCTGCTGGGGAGGCCTCAGGGAGGGGAGTTTTACTCATGGTGGAAGGTGAAGTGAGAGCAGGCACATGCCATGGCGGGGGCAGGAGCAAGACAGAGAGTTGATGAAGGAGATAAGTCACACTTCACAGCAATCAGATCTCCTGAGAACTCACTCACTGCTGTGAGGACAACACTGAGCCATTCATGAGGGACCCATCCCCATGACCCGATCACCCCCCACTAGGCTCTATCTCCAACATTAGAGATGACATTTCAACATGAGATTGGGGTAGGGACAAATATCCAACTATGTCAGTGCTTTTCAGGTATCTCAAATTCATTATCATTTGTTCAAATACCTATTTCTCCCATGTTACAGGTTTGGAGTAATCACCATGTAATTTATTTCCCAAGCTATAAATCTTAGATACAAACTTAACTCCTCCTCTGCTCTAATAATTCCCCTATAACCCTATAAACTCTCCCTTAGAAATGGCTCTCAAACCTTCCCCTACTCCCCTGGATCCATCTGCTCAAATTGCCCTAGTTCAGGCTTTTGTTGTGTCTCACTGAACTGCTGCAATGACCTCTGGCAACTCTCCCTGCCTCAATTCTTAGCCGACCCTACCCATTCTTTCTACTAATGCTAGACTGTTCTTTTCAGGGCACTAAACCAACAAAGTCTATCTACTGAAGGGCAATTTTCAAGGGTCACCCTTTTGCTGAAGTATCAAGTCCAAATGCCTTAGCATGGCCTGAAATGATAAAAATGATAACAGGAAAGTGCCTTAAGAACAACAGGAGGTATTCAGAAATTATTTCAAATGGTTTCATACAGAGCTTCCCAGGGAATTCTCTGAGGAGCACAGCTACAATAAGAAATATGCAAAGATGGCCAGACACGGTGGCTCACGCCTGTAATCCTAGCACTTTGGGAAGACGAGGTAGGCGGATCATGAGGTCAGGAGTTTGAGAACAGCCTGGACAACATGGCGAAACCTTGTCTCTACTAAAGACACTAAAAATTAGCGGGGTATGGTGGTACGTACCTATAATCCTAGCTACTTGGGAGGCTGAGGCAGGAAAATCGCTTGAATCTGGGAGGCTGAGGTTGCAGTGAGCCGAGATCACGCCATTATACTCCAGTCTGGGCCACAAAAAAAGAAAGAAAGAAGCAAAGATGAAGAGTGGTGTATCTCAAGAAAATAAGATTTCAAAATGAGCTCAGGCTTGGAAAAAATGCAAAAGTCATCTTAGGTATTGGTCTCTAGTGAGAGGATCAGGCTGCCACTAGAGAGAATTTGCTCAAGGTGATAATGAAGATGCTCAAGCTCAAAGTTTAGTCCTTGATGCCAGAGGCGTGATCTGCTTTCTCTCCTGTATTCAGTCTCTGGCAAGTTGGATAAATCTGGTAGATGCTTCCACTGCTGGAGTGGGCCTCCCAGATCACTGCTGTTCTGGGTTTTAGGGATAACACTCTTCATCACGTACCCTCATCTTCTTCCCAGGATTGCCCATCCTCACTTGGCAAGATCACCAGGGTCTGAGACTGGGCTCACTTGAAGAAGAGAAGATGGTGCAGCATGTCCAAGGGAGACCTGGTTCATTTCTGCGCTGGGTCTTGGGGCAAAGTGCTGGCTGGGAACAAGGGACCCCTTTGCTTTATTTCATCTTTTGTGCTTATATTTCCTTTTGGAATTCTGGGGAATGCATGCATTGCAAGCAGGATCTGGGTGCCCACACCTGGGCCATTTGTGAGCCTATAAATATCCATCAGTAGGCTGTTCTGATACAACTTAAAACCCCATGATTACTTTTGTCATACAAAGCAAGAAGAATGAGGGAGGATGGGAACACGTTTTCTGGCAGATGGTATCTGGGAACAGATGACAAAGAGAAGACAGGTCAGTCAACTCCTACTGAAAGGAAAAATTTGGCTTTCTCTGTCCAAGACAGAGATCTTCATTCTAGGAAGTACAGAACAAATGTGGTTACAAAGGAATGTGAATGTAAAAATAGGATTGGGTGGTAAGAGAACAATTTATTGCTTTTGAAAAAAAATTTAATGGTTAAATTTTTTTAACTTTAAAGAGCAATATGAAAGTAAAATGTAGAAGGAAAAGTTCCTCATGGCCCCACTAGCAGAGGTAAACCTTAACACCTTCATCTAGTTCCTTCTATCCCTCCCTTTTGTTTTACTGTACACATATTTTTCTTCTGTTTATTTTTCAAATCACAATCTGACAATCCACAAAATTTATATTCTGCTTTTTACGTGAATATCATGGAATAATTATATTTGTGATTTCTTGCACAGCTCTTATGAACCTTTGTTAAGTCAGCAAATATTTATCCAGCACCTACAGTGCCCCAGGTATGGACGCTTTCCTCCTGGCGTTTGCAGTCAGTGAAGCACAGGGACAAGTGAGCCCACAGGTACCCGGCTCTAAGGACCAAGAGAGGACATTTGGGATCTGGGGGAGCACGTGGGAAGGGCCCAGATGTGTGTGGGGTGGGTGTCACAGAAGCTTCCTACAGGAGGAGGAGTCTAAGCTGAGCTCTGTAGGATGAGTGAGAATTGGCCAGGAAAAGAATGTGAGAGGACAAAGGGTGTCCTGAGGTCTGGATGAGAGTGAGAGTGTGAGAGGCTGAAGTAAGTTCTTTCTACCAAGGATCTGAACAGCCGAAGTGAATGCTTCGAATGCACAGAAGGGGACAGTGATATAAGAGGCAGAAGCCAAGGGGGAGGTTGAGTGGGAGGCAGGGTCATGATGGGCCCATCAGCCACACAAGCCTTGTAGAGGAGTCTGAGCAGTGTCTTGAAGGTTATAGGAGCAGAAGGGTTTTAAGAAAGGGCCTGGCATGGTTAGGTCTGCATTCTAGAAAGATTGTTCTGGCTGTGCTAAGAAGGACACATTGGAAGGGGATAAAAGTAATGTTGGGGAGACCACTTAGGAAACTGCCATAATCCTGTTGAGCTGAAGGATCTCCCTGAGCTGCTCTGTGCTTTCAGCCCTGCAGCACCAGGTATAGAGGAAACACCTTTCCACAGACTTGTCTACCCACTTTCCTCAGCTCCATTCCTGGCCGGGCATGTCTGATGTCAGGAGGGCTGATGAGTAACATTTTTCTGATCGTCTAACTCTCCATGTAGGACCTTTGATCCCCAAGTGTTCCCCACAATTGCATACTGTCTTATTTCTAACCTATGTCCCCTGCCTTTCAACACCCACAGTGGGTCTGCTTCCTGCTTTAAAACCAACTGATGCAGGCTTCTTGGCCCCCACTCAAACTAGTCTATCACTCTGGTGTCACTTACCTTGCACGGGGAGATCTTATGTTCTTATGCATTGTTTGTCTCCACTACATTGTTTGGGACTAGATCTGCTTGTTTCTGAGAACGGTGCCCGACAGATGGTAAGGGCTCAGTCTGTTCAGTGAGTGAGTGAATAAGATTGAATGAATGAAAGAATGGATATATATACAGGTCCAAAAGTTGGGAGAGAGGTCTGGGCTGTAAGATAAAGATTCTCGAGTCACTGAAGCCATGGATGTGGATGAGATCACCTGAGGAGAGCACAGAGTAAGAAGGAAAAAGAGGAGAGTGAGTCAAAAATGGAATTCTGAAGAGGGCCCACAGTAGAGAAGGAGAAGGGGCGGCCAGAGGGTAGGATCCAGCTCTGGGTGGGCTGTGCGGAGAAGCTAGAAGAAGGAGCATTTCAAGATGGAGAGACAGGGCTGGGCATGGTGGCACATGCCTGTAATCCCAGCTCTCTGGGAGGCCCACATGAGAGAATTGCTTGAGGCCAGGAGTTCAAGACCAGCCTGGGCAACACAGTGAGATTCCCTCTCTACAAAAAAATATAAACAAAGAAGAAGAGACAGAATCATACACTGCGGAACTGAGTTAGCAATACAAAGAGGTCTTTGGGGTCCTTGGAGAGAGCAGTTTCTGGAAAGTGGTGGGGACAGAAACCATGCTACCATGGACTGAGGAGAAAGTAAGGGAGAGGAAGGAAAGACAGCCAGTGTGAGTGCTTCCAAGCAGTTGGCTGTGGATGGGGGAGGGAGCTAAGGCAGGAGCTAGAGCTGCAGTTTTAACATGGCAGAGCAAGTAAATGGTGATGGGAGGGGCAGATAGAGAGGAAGAGACTGAATAACTAATGGGGGCAGGAGCGCTAACCGAAAGAGGGATGTCCCTGAGAAGGCAGGAGGAGATGCCTGTGTGACCCTCCTTGGGGATGGAGTCCAAAGGGAGGGCAGAGGCTTACAGCAGACAGCACAGCTCCCCTGATGTCAACCTGAGGGGAGGGATTGAGGCCACATGGGCCAGGCATAGGAGCCTTGTGTACCTAGGGTCAGAAGATCCAGGAACTTACACTCCACCAGGTCCCCACTCACCGGGCGGTGGGAGGCAAGGCTCTCTGCTGGGAGGACTGGGAGTGTTTGGCTGGACTAAGGTCCCATTAGTACACAGAACTCCTACTAAGGAGTTGTCAGGACTGCTGCCCAGGGCCAGAACTTGGTGGATTGCTTCAGCTAGGTCCTGAAAGTGTTAATTCCCATCTGGAGTTTTTGGCCAAGAGGAATTTCCCTCTTTTTAGGAAAAGACCATTTCTTAAGCTCTTCCTCCCGGAGAAGCGGAGGGGTCTGGTGCCTGCCCTTCCCTGCCGGGCTCAACCCCTAAAGAGGGCAGTATTTTCACAGGTGGGCCCTGCTTTAAGAAGCCCCATTATAAGAAGATTCTGGCTTTTTAAACTGGGGCCAATAAAAGAATTTGCCAAGAGGGTCTTTGAAGTAATGACCTCCCTAGTTAGTGCCTTGAAACATATTTTTCCATCATGGAGGAGAGATTATGAGCTGGGGGGCCTGAGAAATGTGGGAGGCAAAAGACCCCGAGGGTGGCAGAGTCCTGGCTCCCGTCCAGAGGCCCCACCAGGGGAGTAGAGGCAGCGACTCAGGAAGGAGGAGCCTGGGGTCTGGGGAAATCAGATGCACAGAATTCTGTGTCTAAGCCCAGTTCTTGGGCACAGAAAGGCTTGTCTGGATTAAGACTGTTTATTCTCCACAAATCCAGGCCTAGCCAGTCTTGGTGTGAGGTCCGGGCCAGCTGAAGCCATATAGAGCGGCCCATTCTCCTGTGTCCAGTGAGGATGAGCAGGGTGTGGGCAGAGGATGGCAAGGGGTAAGGTGGAGGCCTGGAGGGTGGTCAGCTCACATGGTGCTAAGAATCTTTTGTGTGATTTAAAAAATTATCTCATCTTTCCCATTCACTCATTCATCTATTCCTCCAGTCTTTATTGAACACCTACTATATGCCAGACTCCTCTCTGGGGATGAAATTGTAAGTGCGGTAGGCCTGGTCCCTGCCCTCAAAGATCTCACATTCTGAACGGGGAGACAGACATTAAGCAAATAAGCATGTCTGTGTGTGCTTATGAACCGTGAGAGAGCTGTGGGAGAGCACACAGTGAGCCGTGATGACATATCACAGGGACCAACGTCTACAGGGTGCTGCAGTGGTGGCTGGGGTCCTGGAGACACCACCTGTAAGCTGGGGCCTGGAGAATAGGTGGACATTAACCAGGGGAGAATATGACTTCAGGCATGGGGAACAGCACGTGGAAGAGCTCTCGGGAGCAGGGAGTGCAGCTGGTAGCAAGCAGAAGACCAGGATAGCTGCATGCAGACAGCAGAGGCAGGGTTGGTGGGCAGGGGCAGGGATGAGGTTAGGGACATTGGCCGGGGCCAGGTCACGCAGGGCCTATTGGTATTCGGGGTGTGAAATAGGAATTCTTTGGCTGTGATTCTGCAGCTGGCAGAGGTTTGGGTGTGAAATTCCCTCCTGGCAATGATCAAGTGGCACTGGTAATCAGAAAATGGAAACGCAGTTCAATGCCCCTCACTTCTTGTCTCCCTTAAACTCAATTTCTGTCCACCTGGAAATCCTTCTCAGAAAACAGCTAGAAACAGAGAGGAACCCCTGCCTTCTCCCTGCTCTGGGCTCTCAGGCTTCCCCGCAGGACCCCACTGCTGAATCCTGACACTGCCTGCAGGAGGACATCTCGTGCAGCATTGGGGCCACCCTCTCCGAGGCCTCCTAGTCCAACTGTCTCATTTTAGGAATGTGCATACTGAGGTGGGAGG